ATCATTTTACGAAAAAAAAAAAAAAAAAAAAGTGTAAGCAAAGGGGGGCGTACGCCCTCTACGCCCCCCTCTGGATCCGCCACTGGTCTCATCACGATTCACGAGTTGATTTTTTTGTCAATCACGATTCACAGAAAATAAATTTCCATGATCACGGATCACGAAAATATAACAAAAAAATAAATCTGTAGAAAAACGGATCACGATAGCGAAAATGCGCCGATCACGAAGAACGAAAATAAGCCATCAGGCCCCTCATTAAAGGTCAACTTTAGAGCAATATAACCTTCTCATTGATAATTCTGATTGCTTAGTAATTTTAGAAATATTTCTATCATTTAAACCATAGAAACTTTATTTCCGACCTGCAAAATACTCCGTAGCGAAGGGGGCATTAAGTTTTACCCTTGTCCGTCTGTACGTCCGTACACCCGTCCGTACGTACGTTCCAAAGTTGGTTTCCGTTCTCTAACTTTAGTTGCCACAACCAAATGTTATGAAACTTATACACAATGCTTATTTCCACAAAACACAGATCAAGTTGGAATTTTGGTGGCGTCACTATAGCCGTTCTAGAGTTATGCCCCTTTACCAATGGAAAATGGCTGAATTTTTCGTTTCCGTTCTCTAACTTTAGTTTGCCTCAACCAAATGTTATGAAACTTAAATACAATGCTTATTACCAAATAAATCAGATCAAGTTCGAAATTGGGTGGCGTCACTTTTACCGTTCTTGAGTTATGCCCCTTTATAAACATAAAAGGCACTGGCTACGGTTACATGAAAATGTACCAATAATATAAAAAATATTGTTACATTGGAGACTAATTGCCGGAATGCAGGGTTGGGTAAGGAACCGATTAATTACGAATGTAACAATAATATTTGGGTCTACGGTTACATTTCTTTATTGTTACATTAACGCACTGCAATGTATGATGGGGATAGTAATAAATATGTATTAAAATAAAACTTGAAAACTTTTATTTGATATTTACAATATTGCATACAATATTTTGATTTTTTATTTACAATGACAGTTTCTACAAATCCAGTATGTTGAAACCACTCTAAGCAGCCATCACAAACCAGTGATACGGCAATGTGCACGCTCTAAATTGCATACCGTAAAATTCCATTCTGCATTTTCCCTTTATGAAGTTTAAGAAACTTTCAATGTCTGAATGCCATGCTTCAGGTGAAAAATATTTTGTTACTCTTGCGATGTTTACATTTTCGTCCAATATTTTTTTTTGGAAGCATGTTAGGTTGTTTAAATACAAGTCAATTATGAATGCTGTTAATGTTGACATTTGCCGACAGATTTAAATTGGTGGAAACAGTGTTTTCATTTTCAGAGTCCAGATATTTTGTGATCTTATCAGTCGTGACAGTACATGCTCTTTTGAACAGTTCATTAAGTATTCATCAATAGTGATATTGAACTAAACTGTAGTAGTCATGATTTTTACCAACACCAAAACTATCAATACTTATTCGCTGAATAATTTTATTAGTATTAATATTATCTAGTACATATCGAAGAATTAAGCAACATAACTATAGAAGGTTTAAGTTTAATAAATCTATCATACATTGCAGTCTTTAATGTAACAATAACGCAATGTAACCGTAGACCCAAATATTCTTGTTACATTCGTAATTAATCGGTTCCTTACCCAACCCTGCATTCCGGCAATTAGTCTCCAATGTAACAATAATTTTTATATTATTGTTACATTTCCATGTAACCGTAGCCAGTGCCAACATAAAAATTGCTGAATTTTTCGTTTCGGTTCTCTAACTTTAGTTTACCTCAACCAAATGTTATGAAACTTATACCTGGGACTATTATGATTATTTAAGGAAGTTCGCTACTCAGTTTCAAAATAACAAGCTTTTCATAACACTAGAATATACTGATAGGGGTCTAATAAAGGAACCAAAAGAGCGAAAAAAAAATATAGGTCCGTGTGCTTGTTTTTGAGATATTTGCCATTGAAATTTTGGCGGGAAAATGTTCTCTCTTGATTTTTCATAGCTTTATCATTGACAAGTTTAAGTTCTCAAAAACTATAAAAAAATAACAAAGATTTTATAAGACTTTTACAGATGCCTTATATTTAAACATTTAAAAGATTTATAAAAAGAAAAATGGGGGTTAGTGGGCAAAATTTTGTAAGGCATTCAAATGGATAAAACCAGAGGATTCCGAAAATCTGACAAAAATTCCAAAACATGACAAGCGAACATCCTTAAGGAATGACGGTAATATTTTTTCTGTCTATGAAGAAATAACATCAAAAATGTGGTGCACACTGAATAACCCGCGTAGCGGGTTATTTTAAAGTGTGCACCACATTTTTTATGTTATTTCGAAAAGACAGAAAAAATATTACAGTCATTTCTTATAATTTAATTCTAAATTTCATTTCAAACCGGAGTAAACCATGAAAAAACGTTGATGACGTCACGGTCACAGGACAAAATTATGTCTATGAGTTGATAAACAAAACAACGTCAGCCAATCAGAAGACGCGTTACATCCAAAATTAAATTATTACCACATAATACAAAATACAAATCAAGTTTGAATTTTGGTGGTGTCACGTTTACCGTTTTAGAGTTATGCCCCTTCACAAATGGAAAAAGCGCTGAATTCTGTTCTCTAACTTAAGTTAGCCTCAACCAAATGTTATGAAACTTATACACAATAATTATTACCACAAAACTCAGATCAAGTACAAATTTGGGTAGCGTCACTTTTATTCTTCCTTAGTTATGTCCCTTTATAACTTTATATGATATGCAAGTGGGGGTATCATCTGTGTCCTATACACATTCCCCATTTTTCTTGATAACATTTAACTAAAAGCAAGTTAGGGAGCTACCATTTGATTTTTATGGGGGGGGGGGGGGGGGGGGGGGAAATTTGAAAAAAATAGGCAGGACAGGAGTTTTGAGTAAAAAAAAAAGGCAGGATGAGATTATTTGCAAAAAAAAAAAAGGCAGGATGACAATTTATGTAAAAAAAAAAGTCAGAATAAACTAAAAAAAAAGGCAGGACCGAATAGAGTGAAAAATAAAAAGACAGGACCGAATAGAGGAAAAAATAAATAGGCAGGACAAAATTTTTCATCCTAGCCCCCCCCCCCCCCCCCCATAAAAATCAAATGGTAGCTCCCTTAATAGTATTTGGTATGCAGTTTTACAATTGTACATTTCCTTTCCATCGAGATTATTTGGCCTCACTCCCTCTGTCATGGTCTCTTGACTTTGAATCTTTTCCCTAGTTTACATGTTTGATCATGTTTAACTTTGTGATTAGGTCACTTTATGGGGCTCGGGAGGTTATGGGTTTGATCCCTGTATGAGTTGGTCGCACAAAGGCTTTAAAATTTGTAAGAAAAGACTGGTCGACAAGGAGTCGGAATAATTTGTCAGTGTAAAGTGATAAGTCTTCCTGCGGACTGTCACCTGAACAAAAATGCGACTCAATGTTCTGTGATAAGATGTGGGTGTATATGGTCTGCAACTCAACGGCAATAGTAAACAAGTTTTGTACAAAGCAGTGTATAATGTAAACATATTTTTATTAAAGAGTACGTTATGTATATCTGCAAGAGTAGATAAATACAAAATTAGCAAGTAATTCAAAAATTGGGATAAAGAAATGCTCATATATAGATCTATCTTCCTAAATTCAAAAATAAAATTACGAAACTGTATTTACATGCTGAATGGCAGACTAATATGTATGTAACAAAATACATTTAATGAATACAATAATCTAAATAAATATAAAAATAAGAAGATGTGGTTTGATTGCCAATGAGACAACCGACTCTCCACAAAAAACCAAATGACATAGAAGTTAACAATTATAGGTCACCGTATAGGTCGCCTTCAACAATGAGCAAAACCCATACCGCATAGTCAGGTATATAAGATCCCGAAATGACAAATGTAAAACAATTAAAACGAGAAAACTGACGGCCTGATTTATATCCAAAATAATGAACTAAAAACAAATATTACATACAGCAACAAACGACAACCACTGAATTACAGGCTCCTGACTTTGGACAGCACATACAGAATGTGGCGGGGTTGAACTATTTTGCTGGCGCCAACCTCCGTCCCCGTATTTTGAACAGTGGCGTAACAGTACAATATACGAACAAACTATAAAAATCAGTTGAAAAGGGCTTAACTCACCCAATCGATACAAAGCAGAAAAACAAGTAACAAAAACACAGACCGGACATGGCAGGGTATTAATACAGCCCCACAACAAAAAAGACACTTAGTACAGATCTGAGAGTACTCGCAGTTACTGACAACCAGTTCAGAGCCAATAACAACTAATAAAAATAATCATGTATCTAAGTCCATTATTAGTTGTTATACATAAAGCTAGCACAGGGGGATACAGCTGTTTAGAAAAGTGACAGTGTTATTACAGAAAGGGATTAGATTGTGCATGTAAATCAATTGCTACTCATAATAAAGTTTTGTACAGCTTTGAATATATTAAGTCAATTTTGATCTACTGCTAGTCTATTGGAGCAAAAAGATTACAAAAAAATGTGCAAATGCAATGCGTCTGACTAATTATCCAGTTATCGTCATAAACATGTATGTGATATTTGCGACCGTACGTTATTTGCACAGGTATATCTAAGGGTAAACATAAGATAAAATCTTTGTGCCAATGTAAGAGTACACATATTCTAAATAACATCGGTTTAAAAAATAGGTGTACCCCGAGTATCTGAATAATTCCTATATTTAACTTCATTCATAAAAAAAAAGTCCGATTCAGGTAACACAAATATTAACAAACACAATTACAGTCATGACCCGGATAAATACTATTATCTTACATACATAAATATATCTATGCTATTATGAAAAACGAAACTTTAACCACATGACTTTGTTTTATTTACGTTTATGACGATCAGTCATAAGACTGGTTTATTTATAATAATGCGGTTACCTGATTGAAGCATTAGTGTCGAAGAACAGGTAAGCATAACTTTACATTGATTCATTTTCATCGGAAATAATTTTAAAACAAAAAATACTGCACGTATCGGAAAAGTTAAAAAAAAAATCGACCTTAAAATAAATATTAAATTTCAATTCATTAATCAGTGAAGTCAATCATAAGAATAAGCGTTATAATTTAGTATTTTCAAAAGCATAATTGTACTGTTTCTTTAGATAAATTATATTTCAGCATAAAGACTAGATTATCATGAGTACTTTTGTACGGAAAAAGCATGTACGACTTCTCAAAGTTCAAAGTAATTTTCAATATAAAAATAAGAAGGTGTGATATGCTTGACAATGAAATAATTTTCCACTAGAGATAATAACGTAAAAGTTAGCAACAATATGTCACCGTATGGCCTTCAATAATTAGCATAACCCGTACCGCATAGCAAGCTACAAAAAGCCCCGACATGACAAATGTCAAGCAATTCAAACGAAAAAAACTAACGGCCTGATTTATATACAACTCTAATACCGATTTCGATTCGATTATTGATTTCAATGATTCACACGGTAATCCGATTGGGACGTCGGGATTTGGCCTTTTTTTCGCTGCATTCGGGATTTACACTGATCGGGACTCAGGAATTAATGATTGATTTTTCGGGATCCGGGAAAGATTTATTCTTTCTGGAAATCGGGATGACACCCCCTCCTACCACCCCTCATTGAACAATTTCAGTCTGTATGCGTTTGTCGGACAATTAAGGAAGTTAATAATAACCATTACTGTTTCAAAAGTTTCCTGGTTTGTGCGCACATAAAACTGGTTTTTATGCGCTACACAAAACCTAAAGAACGAACACACAAACCCCAGCAAAAATCGGGATGTTTACGTGTCGGAAAGCAATTTAGTATAATTATAATAGAAATAAGGTATAAACATTAGATCGATGTGTATTTTACATAAATTATTGACAATTTGAATGAAATAATTATATAGAACACACGTTTGAAATTGTTTCAGAATGTCTAAGGAAACTGAAGTACAAAGACAACAAGCACCACCAACTGCAGCCACCAATCCACAAAACGCAGCTGCAGGATGTGGCAACCAGATGTTTTACCAGTACACAGCACCAACTGTAGTCCTACAGACACAATCAGTAGCCACGAAAACGGTTATTGAGGCCTACATATTGTCGATACCTCTCGGCTTTCTTGGAGCTCATCATTTTTATCTCCGCAGACCTGGATTCGGAGTATTATATTTCTTCACATTCGGATTGCTAGGAGCTGGCGTCATTTTCGATTGGTTTCGAATGCCATGGCTTGTTAAGAATGCTAACAAAAGAGCTAAAGATCCTGAAATTGAGTATAAAAAGAGACTGGATGATGCCTATATTCTTTGGTTTCCATTCGGATTGCTCGGTAAATTTCTACATATTATCTTATACTAATATTTTGCTCACATTTCTCAATCAATTTTAATTATCGCTTTTCCCTAACAAAACAGCTTTTTATACGACCGCACAATTTTTTTTGGGTTCGTATAATGCTATGATGTCGTCGTCGTCGTCGTCGTCGTCGTCGTCGTCGTCCGAAGACACATTTGGTTTCCGGACAATAACTTTAGTTTAAGTGAAAGGATCTCTATGAAATTTTACAAGAAGGTTCAATACCACAAAAGGAAGTTTGGGATTGATTTTGGGGGTAAAGGTACCAACTATTTAGGAATTAGGGGCCAACAAGGGTCCAAAACAAGCATTTTTGTAGTTTCCGGACAATAACGTGTGTGTAAGTGTATGGATCTCTCTGACATTGTACCACAAGGTTCCATATCCCAAAGGGAAGTCTGGGATTGAGTTTGGGGGTAATTGCCCCAAACATGCAGGAATCAGGGGCAAAAAGGGGCCAAAACAAGGATTTTTCTAGTTTCCAGACAATAACTTGTGCTTAAGTGTATGGATCTCTCTAAAATTGTACTACAAGGTTCCATACTACAAAGGGAAGGCTGGGATTGAGTTTAAGGGTAATTGCTCCGAAGAGGGGGGGGGGGGGGGGTCAAAAAGTTTGGGGGGGGGGTTTCCAATTTTTTTAAGGGGTTCATATTTTTTTTTCTTCAAAATTTTTCAAATTTCAATAGATTTTTAAGATCTTTGACCACATTTATTTTGTGTCAGAAACTTATATTATGTCAAAAATTTTATCACAATCCAAATTCAGACAGTATCAAGCTTGAATATTGTGTCCAAATTTGCCCCAACTATTCAGGGTTCGACCTCTGCGGTCGTATCAGGCTGCGCTCAGCGAAGCATTTTATTGACATTTAACTATACATATATACATGTATTTCTTTACCGACATCATAGTAAATGATAATCAAGAAACCAGCATAATGTCAGTGTTTACAACATAACATATTATCATCTGTTAACATATCTAGATATAAGAAGATGTGGTATGAGTGCCAATGAGACAACTCTCCATCCAAGTCAAAATTTAAACCATTATAGGTCAAAGTAGGGTCTTCAACACGGAGCCTTGGCTCACACCGAACAGTAAGCTATAAAGGGCCCCAAAATTACTGGTGTAAAACCATTCAAACGGGAAAACCAACGGTCTATTCTATATAAAAAACGAGAAACGAAAAACAATTATGAACCACATCAACAAACGACAACTACTGAACATCAGATTCCTGACTTAGGACAGGTGCAAACAAATGCAGCGGGTTTAAACGTTTTAATGGTACCAAACCTTCACCCTTTTTCTGAAACAATAGTGTAACATCCCAACATAGAAAGACACACTATAAAATATCAACTGAAATAGCTTAAATCAGTCAAAGGACATATAAACACCAGTGGACATACACTGAACAAATAAATTTGACCTATGATACAATGTAAATACAAAATAAATAAACTAAGGGAAGAATAATAAAATTAACATGTTATATCGGTATGAAATGTTAAACAATTTAAGAAAAACAATATGCTCGAACAAAAATATCAGCCATTTGCAATAACTTTAAACACAGGTAAATGAAAATAATTTTGTTGTTAGGTATGCGTGTACAGTTCCAATAGAGAAAGGAAATATTTTTACAAAAATAAATAATTTAGATGTTCATAGTACGAAGTGAAAATTTATAGTAATACCAAACACTTATCAAAGCTAAACTGTTTACATGCATGACTATCTCCCTAAATATGCGCTAGATATTTGCTAAAAGTTGTAAGAAAGCAACAATCAATGTTTCATTACTTAACTGTTCGAATGTTTTTTTTACAGGATTCCATCATTTCTATCTGCGTAATTATGGTCTAGGATTTGCCTACCTTTTTACATTTGGACTTTTTGGTATAGGTTGGCTGCTTGACATATGTTTTATGCCTTATCACGTGAGAAAAGCTAACGAAGAACCGAAAATTCCCAACGAAAAATCTGCATGTGCTGCTGAAGTACTTGCTTTGTCACCATTTGGAATCCTAGGGTTTCACCACTTCTACCTAAACCGTCCATTGTATGGTGCGTCTTACTTCTTTACATTCGGATTATTGGGTGTTGGATATATTGTTGATTGGTTCCGAACACCTAATTTAGTGAAAAGACATAATGAAGAAAAGTTTAGTGGTAGAGATCCGAATCTGAAGTATAGCGATGACGCCTATGTTTTATGGTTTCCTTTTGGACTTCTCGGATTTCATCATTTCTATTTACAAAGACCACTTTGGGGATTCTTGTACTTTTTTACGTTCGGTCTTTTTGGAATTGGTTGGTTAATTGATGGATTCCGCATATGTTGCATGGTTAAACAACATAATGAAAACTTGAAGGAAAGACAACGGCTTCCGGTGTACCAAGGAGTTTACGGTCTACCTCCACCAAATAGCATATATACCAATGGATCCAGTGGAAATGGTATGTCTAAAGTATTATTCAAAAGTAATGATGTTTTTTTGCTAGTTGTCTTTCAAATATGAAATCCCGATTAAACGGGTAGACGATTTTATTTTTTCGCGACGTCTTGGATATTAAAAAAACAATGTATGAAAAAGTACGCAGTTTGTATAGAATTTGTTATATTCCACTCTTTCATATAATTCATAAAAGATACACTGCAAGAATGTGTTTGGAATGTGTTTGTTTGCTAAAAAAAATGCAACAGTAGAATACCGTTGTTCAATAGTCATATTCCTGACTTGGAACAGGACATTTTAAGAAAAAATGGTGGTTTTAAAGGCTAGCAAAACCTCCCGTTTATATGGCAATAATAACAATACCACTAAAATGAGAACAATGTTTCTCTAAACACTGAAAATCAATTTACACTGTTTTCTTTTCTCTTAAATTTTTATGCAATTCGGTTATACAGATGTATTTTTTTTTACTGTCGTAAACATTTAGAAGAGGTAATATTCACGATTTATTCCTATTGGAATCCTCTTCGCAATCACAGATGATTAATATATATATTTATATATCAATAGCCACCTTTTAGAAAAGGAATAACCGTAATGTGTTTTGATACTTGCCGCGGTCAATCTTGATTTTACAAATTCTTCTGTCTGATCTGAAGAACGACTAGAAAACTAAGTGTGCGATAGTATATTAAAAAATTACATCGGGAAATTTGAAAATTACAATTTATTTACTCCGTAAAAATATTTAAAAAAATTTTGTTTACGCATGATTTGTTTCTTATTTTGATATTTAACAGTCTTCGCTGAACTTTTGAGATTTTCGACTGTCTTGCATTAATTATTATTATAAACGTTACTTCACTTCTTGATTTCAAAATAATTTAAATGAATTGAACAACAAATCGGAATGTGGACATGTTTAGCGTTCATTTAATTTGCTTAGCTTGATGTTTAAATAAACTGTAAAATGCGGTCTTACCAAAAAAGTTAAATGAAAGAATCGGAATAAACCATTGATCTTTTAGCACGTTCAATTTGCACGCCAATATCTGATATAGTGGGTTTGTTTTACGATATTTTAAATATTATACATATATAAACAAATGCATTTTGTATAACAATTCTTAACAAACGCTTATATTTTCTTTCTTCAATTAGGAGCTCAACATACCCACCCGAATGGTCCTCCACCATATTCTACCACCAATCAGAATGGTTATCCGGGTTATGTGTTTCAACCTGGACAACAGGGTAACAGATCGTATCCACAGCAACAATACGGGATCATGACATATCCACAGCAAGCACCAATGCCATATCAGCAACCACCGGGAGTTATGCCTTATCAGCAACCTCACAGTGGATTTAACAATCCAGGTAAGATTTACTTCTAAAAAGTGTTCAATGCACCTAAAATAAGTAAAGTAAAAATATATAAATAATGAACTGAACAATCAATACATATTTCGGATAGCAAAAATGCACCAGCATCAATAGGACTATACTTGCTCCTAAAACAACAACTACTACTGATATTGTGTTGCTGCCACACGATTTCCATGACAACTACTATTCTTAACTTGACAACAGACTGATTTAAAATTTTAGTAAAATAATCCGAAACTACTATATTATGTAGGTCAAATCATAAAATATTGTAAATGCGCAAAGGCTGAGTTGTCTCCATCATGCCAATTTGACCTTATGTGGTTTTGATTGCTCTTGGTTTTGTAATGATCTCCAAAGCTTTATATTTGTGGATGTAAAAACTTTAAAACAAAAAAAGCATTTTGTATCATTATTGAAGGCCGTACGATGACCTATAATTGCTAACATCTACATCATTTGGTATGTGGTGGATAGTTGTTAATGGAAATCATACCGCATCTCCTTATTCAATGAAAACTCATTTTATTTACCAACCACGGCACCCAGAATGAGACGAACTATAAAAAAAAAATAGACGTACTCGATGATAGTTATTCCATTTTAGGTGCTTTTATGGTTTGGAAATATTCTACGATATTATATGTAGTTCCTTGTCAATTGTAGGTTATGAGGCAACGACTGAAGCAGAAAGTCCACCACCATATCATGCCGATGAAGCTGGAGAACTTCAAACCAAACCTAAACCTTCGTAATACTATACTGATACCTTTGGTAGCTAGAGTGCAACATTATACTGACACTGTATTTGTCAATGAGACGAGCCCAGTACCGATGTAGACCGTCTTTTATTTGTAAATCTGATTACATAGTGTAAATGATATGAATGTTGTAGTATTGTATTGACATTGTATTATTATTAAATTGTATTAACAACTTGCTAGATATGAAAAGCTGTATTAGTTTCTATCTTAAAGAAAAGCATCTCTTCATTGTAATTGAACAATATGCCAATTTATGGAGGACGGAATCCTCATGAAATTAAAAAAAAACCCAATACGTTAAGGAGACAAATCTATATAAAATATTGAAACTAGTGAATTCTGAAATCGGTTATTTTATATTTCTTGTTTTTGACATATGTGAAATAGTCCTTTCCAGTTTTCCTTTTCCTGCAAATTCGTATATCTTTCTACAAAAGAAAGATAGGTGATAATACTAGTTATTTTCGACCACATTCTCTGTTAAAACATGTCTCATATTATTACGATAGTCAGTAAAAATCAACACAAAGACGTCAATTGGTATTCTAGTTTGTTTTAAAATTATAATTTAATGTAAGGTACCAGCTCCCTTAGGCGAAATTGACGATGTTGGCCATTCTTTTTATGTCCCTTTTGACCACAAAGCTCATCGTGTATTAAAACATCTCGGTTTTTAAAATTTTGGTTTTGAGCGTTCCTGAAGAAACTCAATCTAAAAATGTGCTTCAGACAAAGCAAATTTTGAAAGTGTTATTTTAATTTTTTTAGCATTGGGTCTGTTAGTCCCGGAGGATATCATCAGCTCAGTAATCGGTGTTTCAGCGTAATTTCGCCATGTTTTCTTTCTCTTGTCTAGTAGCTAGTACAAGTCAGTTTTATTTCCTTCAGGATGGAAAATAAGGCGACATAAGACCAGGTTTTCTCCCGCAGAAGTCAGTTATAAATGTCTCTAGGAAGGAAAGTGAGGCGTATTTTGGCTATTTTTTCTCACACCTAGCAACTAGTATAAGTCAGTTTTATTTCTTCTGGTGATATAAGTTATTGTTTAACCTATTAATTGGATACAGCTGATAAAAGAGAGTCGAAAGGTACCAATGTGATATTCCAACTCATAGTCGAATACAAAATGACAATGCCATGGCAAAAAACTAAAAACGATTGATGGATCTGATCTAATCTCACTGTTTTGTATCAAAAACCTTGTCAAAGTCAATATTTGTTTAAAAAATGAAAATATCATTTTCAAAATCCCTTGAATTGCATTTAAAATGCTCATGCAATTTGCGACGGACGGATCATGCACAGGCATAGAAAAGTGAAAAAATAAACTCATCATAGATACCAGGACTACAGTTTTGTACGCAAGACGGGAGTTTCGTCTACAAAAAACTCATCAGTGATGCTCGAATAAAAAAGTTTAAAAAGGGCAAAATAAAGTACGAAGTTGTAAAGCGTTGAGGACCCAAAATTCTGAAAGGTTTTGCTAAATAAATCTAAGGTAATTTTGTAATTGTCAATGTAAATAAAGAGTATTCCATAGTTTATGACTTACTAATTATTTGTACAACATCACTTTTGGTCAGCAAGTTTATATTTTGATCATTCATATAGTTTAAACTCGGCAGTACTGCATTTTTCATTATATTCTATATGTAAATATTTTATATGCATACAATTAAAACAATTCAAGACAGCAATTGTTAAGTATTTGCAACGTACGTGTGCGCTGCGGATACCGTATAACGTCATAGCCATACAGTTGGACTGTCAACGTATTGCCTGGATACCTTTTATTGACTTACTAGTATTAATGCCTATGAATTTAGACGTGTTAAGGATAGTAATTACAGTGCGCCTACTACTTGCCAGGCAATACATGAATCAGTGCTCGTTAAATGGTTCTAGCCGAGCGAATTCCTGTTTGGATGAACTGATATTTAGGTTGACTAAAGTAAACATCTTTCACTATATGTTCTTATCTTTATTCGTTCTAAAGTAACAGATGGCCTACAGATTTGTTTTAATGAGGTATAATCAGGCAGCGGTGTCAATCAGATATGGATTCTTAAAAATTCTAAAGGTTTACTCCATAATCTTCGATCACAATCTTTACAATTTTGCTGTAATATCAACACTTTTGATTTTCCTACACTTAACACTACTATTCCCCAAGTTTAATTGTCAGATTGACTACAACGTCTCATTAAACAAAGGGAATCGGATTGTTTTGGATCGATTGAAAACTTAACCGTATGACAACGGAGGTGAACATTGTGAACTTTCTATATCTGTGTAGAAGACATTCTGTATGTATCTGCCTGTCCCAAGTCAGGAGCCTGTAATTCAGTGGTTGTCGTTTGTTGCGGTGTTTCATATTTGTTTTTCTTTCATTTTTTGTACATAAATTAGGCCGTTAGTTTTCTCGTTTGAATTGGTTTACATTTGTCATTTTGGGGCCTTTTATAACTGACTGTGTGGTATGGGCTTTGCTCATTGTTGAAGGCCGTGTGATGACCTATAGTTGTTAATTTCTGTGTCAATTGGTCTCTTGTGAATAGTTGTCTCATTGGCAATCACATCACATCTTCTTTTTTATATTAAAATTGCGCTTTTATATGCAAATTTGATTTCGCCAAAATTGATACAATATTCAAGTATTTGCGTATCCTATCAGTCTTTCCTACATCGAGGGTTACCGCTTAGAAGGATCAAAGATTCCAAAATGGTAAAATTGACACTTGAAATCATTCTTTCGAAATATTTATGGATGCTTTCATGATTTGATGGACAAATATGGAAACGGAAATATAAAACCGTCCCCTTTTCCTCGATTGTGACAAAACTGAACTCCACTTATCATTGTATATCTACATTAATGAGTAACACGATGCGTGCCACGAGTGGAGCAGGATCCGCTTACCCATTTGAAACAAGAAAGAGACATTCCAAAATTTAGATTTTCTTTCCCAATAAAATGCAACATTCATGACAGCACGTGCTTTGTGTGCAACGCCACAATAATGCAGAGGAAACCAAACGAATAGGTTGTAGCATACAGTGTAATTATAAAAATTGAATGCTTCTTTTTATAATTATATTGGGTTGTGAAAACGTTGATCGTGCGCTAGTAATAGAATGGATCCGCGCGTCATATACAATGTGCCTTGGCCAACCCCAGTTTACAATCGAATAAAATTATAAAAGCACCATTCAATTTAAATTACCAACATTTACAGCAGATGGATTTATGTTGATGTTTATGCTAATTAAACAATACTGTAATATTTTAGTTTTTTGTAACATTATCTCAAAATCCTTCAACTTAATTATGATAAAAAGATGCATAATTGATCGATAAGGCGAACGGTCTGAAATGAAAAACAGAATATAGCCTTTTGCTATCGAAATTGCATGAAACGATTTGTGGTATAACTGATAACTTGTTTTTAAGTGAATTAAGATGTTTGTTAAAACGACAAGGACAATCGCATTGCAAATTCTTCGTATTTCTATATTATATGTGTATGTTGTCTTAATGATCAATAGTTACTTCACAATTGTATAATATAATGTATCGATTGTATAAAAACATATGATTATAAAGTGATCATTACGCATGTTCAGTGTTTGGTATTAATCACATTCGAACGAGACAATTTTTTTGACAGAAAATATCTTTATGACTTTTAGCGTCTAATCACAAAATAACTTTGGGTATTGAAGACCATCGTTTTTCTCACTTTTCACGACTGCTAGACAGAAGTTAAGCTGATAATATTAGAACGTAATGCTATCATGTCTGCATCAGCGGATTGGTCTTATGAAGACAAAACGAAAGTCTGGCGTACCAACTTTTAATAAGTTATCTTTCATGAGATTTTGCAACCACTTGGTCGAGTCCACGGCCGTTAGAATTTTCGTCCCCGGGGATATCAGTATCTTAGTATTCAGCCCTTCTGTCATACCATTTGTATGATAGTTTTTTGATAAATAATATGAATACAATGTTGAATCATCCACACATGTCGATTAGTACCTTATGATTGTACATGTTAACTCTATACGGACTTCGTTAACAATGATTTGCATAGAAGAGGTGCGCTGCCCATAATTTTTTCGTTGAGTCCACTGAATAGATCAACACTAGATACTCTCACTATATTTGATATGTCTGTTTTGATTTATAATACCGAAACATATACAAGTAAAATACCTTTATTGTGCGTCTTTTCGGAGGATATAGTTAAATATCAAAATATTTAAACATCAACATATGCAATATTTGGCAATGTATAAAACAGATAGTCTGGATCATTCTAGAATCTTTTTAACCCCAATTCGTGCATTATCCATTATTAGACGAAATTATGAAATAAAATGGTCTCCCAAGGCAGTCGAGGAAACAAGTCGATATTAAATCAGAATCTGTAGATTGTTTCATCACTATTGTATTACATACTAAATAAAGATCTTATTGTTCCTGTCAAATCATTCTGAAAAAGAACATTTAAAACTATCTGCTTAATTTGGTAACATCAGTACAATAATTCCTAATGCAAATTGTTATTGATTCTAGGGTGTCATTGTGAAATATTTTGCGAGCGTTTATGCGATTTTATCACTACACATAACACACAAAAACTAACACAGTTAAAGAAAATGTCTGTACATAATAATGCAGTTATTACTAAGGCAGCGATGGAAGTTGTCAGCCCTAATAGATAGTAACTGTAAATCAAAAGTAAAATGTCATACAAACAATCCGCCATTTTATACACCAGAAAAAACTTTTTCGAATTATATGGTGACATCCTCCCGGTAATTGAAGATATAAAATGAAAAATTATTATGTACGCTAATATTGATATGAATGTGTAGTAATTTACTCCATTTTTATATGACTCTCTGTTTGTTGCACAAATGGTCAAAAACCAAATAACATTGAATAATTCTCCTATTGATATCCGAATAATATAGTAGATAACATTAGAACGGAATAACTTACGAAGAATCATACAAGATATATCCCAGTTTAGAAACGACATTTTGTTTAACTTAAAGAATTAAATACAATTTTGACAGGTAAAGGCAGAAGAATATGAAGTGCAAAATTGGTCATGATTTAGTCACGGGACAATGGTTTTAATCTATGGATTGTATTTTAAATGTATTATTCAAATTGTTGAAATAATGTGATTTCAATGTCAACTTATTTATATTTTGTTAAATAATATTCCGTTAATGATTTTACAAAAGAGTGAAGCTTGAAAAATGGTGTTCGAATTTTTTTTCCTGGATTTCTTTACCACATTCGTTCTATACATGGCAACACATACTTTGTGTGATCCTCTAGAATATACCAGAAGTCAATTGGTCGTTCAAGTTATAACATTGCGGTTGCTAATTGGATGTTTTCTTAACATGCTTGGATATGGAACTTTATTCGGTATTTTTGTCAAAGATGGGAACAAAGAAAACGATGGCGAATTTGTGTTTCTTTGTCTTACTTTGCTGTACTTCATATTATTCTCCACGTGCGTGCGGTTTATGTTCTATAGAACGTTTAGTAAGATCAACAATGCAAATATTTACAAATATTGGAACCGTTTTAGACACATCAGCATTCTATACAGATTTCTAGAAATGCTTTACAACACATTATTATTATGTTATTGTTTATATTTATCAGATTGGAAAATGTCACTTTTCATGATCGGAGTAACATGCGTTTACTGCATCGAAATGATTACTTGCCTTATAGTTCTCGCTGTAGTTATACAGGATAAATTTGGGGGATTTGAGTTTAATAAAAGCCTAATAAAATATAACCGTAAGAGACAAATGTTAAAAACAGGATTCATGAACAAGGTAACAAAATTTAACAAAAGGTCAATTAATAATTGCATATCTATTTGCTATAATCATGGTGTATTAAAAAAAAACATTTATACAAACATGTTCTGTAAGAAAATGCTTTCAAATGTGGAATTGTTCGTAAATTTGAGGTTTTCTACCCTAAAGGTGACTTAATGTACCATTCCAACTGGGCTAAGTTTAACTTAGAGAGAATAAAGCCCAAATAAAATGTTTAATAAACAAATGCATAATTAGAATCATGGCAGACCCCATGCATAGCGTCTTTTGGACGGATGGTTGATGCTCAAGTTAAGTCGTACATCTTTTGATCATATAGCTCTTCACAAAAAGCGCTTCGGACGCAGCAAATATTCATTTGTTTAATTGGCGACAAACATTAAAAAAGGTTCTATCTAGATTTCTTTCCAAACTATCGACACTGCTTATACTAGACTACTTGAATACTAGAAGTGATTTTAGAATAAGAATTTCTCTGAGTTGTTTGTTAACTCTTTGTTCAACACCATAAAAGATTAGTGAAATACAGTTTGTGTGATGATCCTACCTATCAGTTAGTAAAGCCATTAATCAATTAGTAACATCACATATATAATTCCAATGCAGATCAAAATATTCGAGGACATGTTAGAAATGTCACATGTGTCACTTAAACTTTGATTTGTTAAGGACCACTTCATCGATGGAACTCGTTATGATCTTACTGCAAAATAAATCTGAATAACTTACGCGTCTTTAATACGGGTCTGCAAAGTTTGAACATGTGACTGTTTCAGTGTGAGAAACAATGAATGCCAATGTTTAGTTGAGGAATATTTATGAAGAGGATTCATTCTCAAACGTCAAAAGCGGACAAATAAAATGTTTAAATTACTTTTTGGAAATTTTTGAATATTTTTTATATATAAATTAGTGAATAAAGGCTAAATGGAAGACTGATTCTCTTTCAAAGATATCATGAAACGTATTCTGCTTTGCAAAAGAAGCCAAATGTACAAAGAGACAATACAAACAGTTTTAACCCATAGAGCAACCGACAACACCATTGCAAAAACCCAAAAAATAGGTTGAACAATATTAAACTGAAACTGAACAAAACGAACCCCAATAAATCCGGGGCTGGTGTCAGGTTATACGAAAGGATATACAGATTCTTCTCCACATGTGAAACCCTTCGTGTTGCTCATGGAAAATACACATTTTATGATAAGACTCATTCGGTTATGTCACAATTGGGGAAAGGAAAAATTGGTTATTGTTTCGACAAATGGTAAATATTCGTATTCATTTGTGACACTGTTATTCTATAACGGTCAACCAACTCTTGAATGAGTCCATTTTCGAAGGGATTATTTCAACTTTAGTTCTTGGAACCTTGGTTCAATAACTTACTTGTAATCATCAACCTTTATCATGGTAGCAAAGACAAGATCTGAATATCGTATCAGCTGGGAGATATATACTCCTTATTCAGGCGTTATTGTGATGTTGCTACAAGGAAAGGGAAAGTTCGCTATTATAAAGGTGATCATTTTTGTCGCAAACATTTGTTTTAAACTGTCCATCATTGTAAATTTCTAAATATTGGTTTATTCATTTCATGTTCGATGGGATATATTTGCTCTTTTGATTATGTTTTTTAGACTGCAAACCTAAAAGATATACATCCAGCTACAACAGAGACTTCCTTTTCAGATGTAGACGAAACGATAATAGGTAGGTAAAAATTGCTTACACTTATATTTGTTTTAAAGTCAGTAGGTTTTTGAAAAAAATAATTGTAAGCAAAAATACTAGGCTTACAATTTAAGACGCAAGACGCTAGTTTCTTTTACAAAAAGCTCGAATCAAACAGGCTTTATCAAATCGGGAGTTGGTGAGCATTAATAACCGAAAATTCCAGAAAGTTGTCCTAAATACGCTAAGGCCTTTTATGCCTGTTATAGAAAGATCTAAGTGCTTCGAATAATTCATGATCTTAAAAACAGTAAATTTACAGAAAATGAACATATCAATGATATTTAGTTTTAACACAAAAGTGCTGACTACTGAGCTGGGGATACCTTGGGGGCCGAACCCCAACCATATGTGGGACTGACCCAGGAATGGTAGACAACCATACCATATAAATGCCCCAAAACTGTTGATTCTTTGGTAATAAAAAGATTCCCTTTACGATAATGAAATGCAAACCATTTTAAATAGTTGAAGTACAGATTAAGCGATTACATCATCTTCATATGTTACAAATTCGTCCTTGAAAACCAATTTGCTATATAATATTTTCAAAAAGACAAGAGATAACACAATATTTGTATACATGGTTGTATAATGTTACGAAATTGAACCATGGACTTCAAAATATTTAAACTATTCTTTACCTGTCAACTGCTGAAAATAAAAGAATAAAATATCTTTTCATTGCGTTGAAATACAATTGCAACTAATAATGATATTAGTGGTTGTTTTTATGGTCTCTCAAAAGGAAAATTTTTAAGGTAGAACAACCTTCTGTTTTCCCATGATGAGAAACTTCAAGTTAAAGAGTTGAGTAGAATAACACTTTCGTTTGTGTATATTTTGTTTTTAATAGCTTTTGCTAAATCGAATACTACAGCACAATTCATTTATAAGGAAATATACTAATGACTGGTAAATGGTATTCATTCCTCGTTTTAACATTTGTATCTCAAAGACACACAGTTGCTGATTGTAGGTAGATGATATTATATTACTTGTCCTCAGAAATGCCATAATCTCTGAGATTTGCGTTGTTAAGGTGTCCTGTAAACAATGATCATAAGAATGATACATATATCTCAATCATAAATTAAAGAGTGTTGTGTCAGGATCAATGTTGGCGATAAGAAAAATATTATTGAAAAAGAAGCTTCTTTAAAAAAAAAAATATTTAAGTGTGATATAAAACAAAATTTCATTAGTACCAAAGAACTAGGAACATATTTTAAGGGATTTCATTTACTTACCTACAACAGTAATCATTAATATCATCTGATTAACTCATTTCTGTTTAAAAATTCCTCATGTGATTCCATAATCTATTGCAAATGAGGGTACAGCCTCTAACATTTAAATATTCTGACATTATCATTCCTCGTCTGGAATGTAATTGGAAAAAGATGTATTATTATAATCTGATCAGATGACATTTAACAATGAATGAAACTGATTAAAAAAGGAAAGACTGCCTTTCATTTCTTTTGAAGATATTCAAACAAAAAAATGATTGACACAAAATCATTTTATATCAGTTTATCAAGATTGACGCATAAACCGCGTCTTTTTCGATTTATTTCTATCGAAGATCAGGTTCTTGAAAATCCAGAAAAGAAAAGGTCAGTTACGATATGTTCCATGTCTGTTGTCCACATCTGTTATTATGTGTTCCGAAGGGATACGTAGTTTGGGGTATTTTATAACCCGGAGAATTGTCATAACATCTAATTATCATTTAAAACAAGCTGGTTAGCGTTCTTTGTTGGATTGATCGTGTGGCTCCAATTCATGATTGTTGGCATTTTTGAAAGCATATTTTCACAAGGTAAGGTAAAAAAAAAATATTTTCTCGTCAAGCGAAAGTATGCACTCTTTACGAAGTCCCATATATCTGTTGGACAGTAATTCTTGTATGAAAATTTAAATGATATGCACGTGGAGTGATTTGAATAAATATCCTTCCGAAAGTTTGTATCTATGCCCCATTTCATCATTACCATCAATAACAGACATGTATTATTTACAAAGGAACTAAAGAGTCAAAAAAAAAAAAAAAAATCGTAAAGAAATAATCGAAGTAAAAAAGGTTAATTATTATAATCTTTTCCGGTTAAATATACCTGTACAACTTAAGCCTTGCACAACTAACACAAAAGAATACAAAAATGCATATTTGCATGATACATACAACATCGAATTAATTTATCTTAGCCATTAGAAGTATTTTAAAAAGAATACTGATTTTCCCATGACAAAACAATCAGGGTATTTAGATATGTACATAACAGTCATACTGATTATAACAAGTTGAAACGTTCTCAAGGTAAAAAGGAACGAACCATATAGTTATCATGTAATATCCTTATTATTCTATCAATAACTGTAGTTTTTAAATAGGTATCGCTTAATAAGTTGATCCTTACAGAAAGAGTTTAAAGTTACCAAAACTATTATCGTAATCTATATACATTGTTTATGTATCAAATATATCTTATTCAGTAACTGTTCTATGGAATTAAGTTCAATTAAAACTAGAGATTTCTGTTTGTTTACAACCAATTATTACAATAATTCCTTCGACCTCCTATCTAAACCATTGATATATTAATAATAGTGGAGGTTTATGAAATGAATTGACATATACACAGATTTCCGTACAGACAGTTAGAAATCTTCTTTGTAAGTTTATGTACTGCAGAAATTTCATCCAAATTTGTTTTACAACTTTTAACTTTGATTGTCTAAGATGGCGCAAGAAGTATCCGATCCTTTTGTCGGTTTTATAAGTACAACTAACTACACGGTCTGTACTATGCAGAATAAGATAAAATTCCGGATCAGAAATACCAAAAAATTACGATTTGCACAAAACAAAAATAAAGTAAGATAAAAAAGCATGTCTGATATATGTACATTTGTGGTTTGTTCAAGAGCAGGAATAGTATATCTTTTATACAAATATAAAATATAAAATATAAAATATAATTGTCTTTGAATTTCACAGAACATTAGATGCATGGGGTAGGGCTGACTATATAGTCACCGTTTTTTTATGTTAAAAATTCTGTTTATTGCAAATAGTTTTTGTAAGCAAACACATTTTGGTTTATGTTGATGTCAAGTTTTTACTGTAATACAAAAAGAGCTTATAAAACAATCAATTGCATTTTTTTTACGTTTTACATTTGTATTGTAATTGTCTAATATTACTTTGTAAAAACACTGGAAGAAACTAAAATGCTGAAAAAAATAAAATGTTTTTTTTTTAATTAAGGAATAATATAGAATAGCTATGATTTTTTTTTTGAAATACGAATAATTAAATGAACGTAGATACACAATGCATATATATTGGTATTTTGGAACAAATGTATTTTTTTCCCTTAAGCATCGGAGACAGAAATTCAAGTAAACCTGGAAGCAAAAGTTAGTAGAAAACTTTTAAAGATAGCATGTAGAAAGGTAATTATTCAATTTCTTAAGAGGTTTCGGCAAAGTTGAACTGCAACCCAAGTGATATCAAATCATTAATATGAGACAACCAATGGTTACTTTTTCCATTGCGTAAGACATATTATGTTCCTAATGAACTACGCCCAGAGCAAGTGTAAGGAATATACGATGTAAAATGTCAACAAAGGAACATTTCCAAAAGGTCTTAAATAAGTCAAATTAACAGATGTTTATTACCCTTCAGGAGCACCTCATATTACCCCAGTTTCTGGTTCATTCTGTTAGTCTTTAGTTTTGTAGTTATATATGGACCTGTTCGTAGTTTCGTGGACTTAAGAGCTATTCATGTCCCTTTGTTATCCTCCGCCTTTTTCTTTTACTGAAGCGTCCTATTTTGTAGCTTCGAATTTCCAATACTTGGTGTAGCATCGATTGATATTCGAAAAATAAGCTATAAATTGTCTAGAAATATTTAAATTGTAATGAAGAAATAATCCTGTCACGTAACCTTATATTTGATCATAAAAAAATCTGATACTTTTCAGTCACAGATAATAATTTTACTATTAGTGGTACATAATCTCAATACGAAGAAAAAGTCTGATGGATACTTTAGTCTGGAAAAAACATGATTTATTTATTAGTTGAAATTGGCTTTGAACTAGCTTTCAGTAACTACGAGTACTATTATATCGCTGCTTTTAGTCTTTAGTATTTTATGTTAGTTGGATTATTTGTGCTTTTTTTATTGCGTTAAGCGATTTGCATCTGATTTTTACAGTTTGCTCTTATGATCTGCTGTAACACCACAGTCCCAGGTTAGGGGAGGGTTGCGCTATCATAAAAATGTTTAACCCCGCCACGTTCTGTATGTGCCTGTCCGAAGTCAGGAGACTGTTATTCAGTGGTTGTTGTTGGTTCATGTCTGTCATATTTGTATTTCATCAATTGTATTGTATAAATACGGCCGTTGGTTTTCTCGTTTGACATGTTTCATGTCGAGACCTTTTATACCTGACTATTTTTTTAGGTTTTCTCATTGTTGAAGGTGGTACGGTGACCTAAAATTCTTTTATTTTCGTCTTTTTAACTCTGGTGGATATTTGTCTCATTTTCAATCATACCACATTTAAAATTAAAAAAAATCTAGAACTATTCCGACATTTCATGTTACATATTTATCATTTAATAGCTTACTCACGGATAATTCAAATATAAGTTAAGGCGACAGTAGTTAACATATGTTAAAATCTCGTAAATCGAGAATAAAGCGGAAAATCAAGGTAAAAAACAGTAACATTAACTTCAAAATGAGCGACACCTGGTGAGTCGACAGGGTAAGCGTCTCCTGCTATCCATGCATTACTCACCATTCGAATTTACAGTTTGTAAAATACCACACTCGGGAATATGACACAATCGGCAAAATTACAAATCAGGAGACTATACTTGTACCAAAAGATATAAAATCTCGAAAGCATGTCTTTAGTGAGTTGAGACACTGACACATTGTATCGGTCAGCCAAATTCTTGATGGTGACCGTAAAAGTTATGAAGTGTCCATTTCAGTTGTTCGTCCTCATAACTCTGTTAGAACAGTTTGTGTGTAAGGAGCACCACACCCCGGTTAATGAAGTCCGTATAGTGTAAACATGCAAGAGCGTAACATATGAACTGAGCTATGTAAACGCCATACGATTTAATTTAGGGTATGTTTTTTTTTTGAAAAATGTGAAGTTAACAATGTGAAAGTTGAAATCATCATGTTTGTCATGCATTCTTGTCTAAAGTCGTTCATCTATGCCAATATCGATAAACAGGCCAGAATATAAAGCAGACCTTCTACTCTTGGTAGTATTCTTTATGCTAAATTCATTCGGTCACATGAATTGTAAGTACTCATTAATAGAATGTGAGCAATAACTCATTTTATTAATTAGCTATATTGCACGTATGTATTGTCTCAATTGTTCATTTTATCTATAGCTAAGAAGACTTTTTTTAACCGAAATAAGTTTCTTTTTGAGAGAAGAAACTGGTATATTTTTCTAATTACATGTATATATTTATTTATATATATATGTAAATGTATTTATAATGAATAACAATGTCTTCAGCCTTTGGAACCAATTGTTTTCGAAGATGCAACATCATCCAGAGCACTTGAAGTTATGCACTTGGAACAAACATCTCCAACCTCTCCAGTGCTTATATTTCAATCTTCAAAAAGCAATGCAATGGGTAACATTTTATGTTGGATAGAGGACAGCCATAAACTTCTTCCAGAGTCATCAACTCTGGTTAAATCAGGTATTATTTATCAGATAGTGATTATATACTATCAAATTACGTTGATAAATCGTTAGCATTCAATAAAGAAAAAAAAAATTAAAATTAGTAAATTATACGAAAAAAGAACAGTTGTTTAAAGGGGCATTAGCTGTAAAATTCATGTTCACCGATTTGACTCAAATTCTCATATTTGATTTATAACATACAAAAACATACATCCAAATTATAAATAGTCTAAAATAAACAACGTACAATGCAATGACTCAATAATATGCATCAGCATTTTGTGTGTATTTTACTCTAGACCCCATTAATTTATTATAGAGGTGACCTCCGAAGACTGCCGATGGTCATATAACCCGATATAAACATATATATAAATATAAAGAGATAGCGAACTTGTGCAATTTGATTTTTCTAGGTCTGTTTGATTTCATAGTATAGGTTAAAAATATATGTTAATCATCGTTTTTACCTGTATAAGAATGAGTTTTTGTGGATCGGATAAGTAAATCAAATGGTTTACCCTTGTTTCTCTTTGAATGTTGACATTCTTTTCCTTTTAATAACTGAACACGGCTAATTAACGCGTAATCCATCTCTAATTAAGGGGTTAAATTGAAGGTCACATGAATACGGATTCAATAAAGTCGATTTATTCAATTGCAAGTGAATAATTCATCAGCTATGTTTCTTAGCTTATTGTGACAAAATTGAACTAAACTGGCTACTAAAAGCGATTTATTATTTCACTATTTCACTTTCATTAATGATTGAACAAAACAATCATATTTTAATTTCTTTTATATCTCGTAGCTAATGCCCCTTTAACTGTTATTATAAAGATGTACGGTCAATGAAAGAATTTTCAAATGGTTTCTTTTATGTAAAACTAATATTTTAATTTTTCTTTCAACATGCATATCTGTGCTAAAATATATCACCATTAAATTCTGCGTGATTTTTGTTTATGCTATATATGTCTCTATACATTTAAATGTAGATTTCATCAAATTTTTCTGGATTGATCTTATAATGGACAAAAGAATAGACAATAGGATTAACAAACCGATGGAACAATATAAAGGTAATATAACTTGTATTGTTATCTTTATGTATAGCATTGGTACGTTGTATCATCCTTTGCAAATGTCTTAAAACGTTTTTTTATGTTTATTTTATGTATATGTATAAAAGATGTAAACTGATATGAATAAAGTAAATACACAATTTTGAACACAATATTTTCATATCGCCACTAACAAAATGTTGAAAAACAAATATCTCGGTCGCAAACATGACAACTTATCCTTCAAACATAACATAAACTATACACCTACATCGTCTTTCATATCGTACTACGAAAATATATAACCTCACTAACGGGTAAGTGGTAAGCACAAATATTAAAAATTATTAGTCAAAAATATAAAATACAATTTGGGAAATAATACTTTATAAATTTGGTGCGTTCATATTTTACCTATTAGGAGCGTTCGAAATGAAAGCAATAATATTAACAGTACCAATTTTACTGCACCAGATGGGCATTTCGAAAATGAATGTCTCTTCAGTGGTATTAGAGGGTGAAATATTTGAAATCCAAAACTAATACAAACTTTGATAAGCTGATGTGATGTATAAATACCCCAGGAGCTTAATGACCAACAGGGAGCTAAACAAAATGTTTAAAACTATTAAAGGTCTCCGAGTAGCACATTTATTACTTTGGTGTTTTCTGGTTTTAAATTTTGTCAGAAAAATAAAATGAAGTGATGAATGAAGACTTTGAAAGTTTTTTTTTACCATAAGGATCATTTACAAAATAGATTGAATCATTTAAGGTCACCCTTTTCTGAGGAGGCAGGACCCTTGGTTCCTTTCTAATCTTAAAATTAAAATTTATACTAACGCATTCAATAAATCATTACTGTTTTGAATGTTCAATGAATTCTAGAACTCGTCAGTTTGGCATAGAGTTGAAATAAAATATATCGATGTACATCGTTTTTTGCCTGTGTATTTATGAAGTCAATCAATAGTATATTTGTAGGAGTAAGTAGAGCTTATGAGCTTATAGAAATCGTTTGCATCATAAGAGCGCGTAATTAAAGATATATTGAAGTACAATCAGCGAAGCAAAAATCAACTTTTATTTCTATTTTTCCCCCGGTTTGGTTGCAAATTTACTGTTATTATAATATGAAAGTTATTGATATGTATACAATTGACGATGCATGTTGAAGCCCCGGATGAAGTCACACTACGTCCAATTCGAGCAAAACACTGTGGATTTGGCCTTAGCTATTGATTTTTTACCTTAAAGAAGTGGTATTCCCTATTTTGTCTTCCCCTTACTAGACAAGTAAGAGAGACCACTTAGAAATATACATAAGATATATAGCAATTGCATGTGGTCTTTGCATGTGTCGATTATATATTTCAACAACTAAAATTGTTTTATCATTTGGAGAGCATAATTTGAAAAAAAATTAAAAGTAGGAGGTAAACAATAAAAATATAAATCTGACAACGTAGACAAGAGTAGGTGTTTAATAAGTATTTTGACCATATACATATTTGATCGAGGTAAGGCTTATAGACTGCGACAGGAAAATTTTTTCACTGCTAAACAAATGTCTAAAGTGACCTCTGTTCGAATCATCGGTTGATAAATCAGTTAACAATGTGGAAATGGTATGACACGAACATTTCAAAAAAGGTCGTGATAATGAAGTAATAGAACATACCTCCAAAAAGACAATACTGCAGTAGGTTATATCACAAAAACGTAGAAATTTGGACCAATTATTTTGTTATTTAATGTGTTGAAGGGTTAGGGTTTCACTTTGCTCCATAAAATTTGTGTGTCGCTCTGTTTGTAGATCTTTAGGCAGCCAATAAGGACTAATCTCCGGTGACATTTTAGCATTCAATAAAAACTACGAAAGGGTCGGTAATGTATTGTCCGTGACTACCAAAACCACTGTTTGGTAAACTGTAAAACACTTTCCTCGAATATAAACCGTAAATTCAATGTTCTAACTACTAGTATATAACTTCTTGTCGTGGTTCCGATTTTTAAATGAACTGATTGTAAACACGAGCAAAACATTATCTGTTTACTTCCATGTTTGAAATGTTTGATATTATACGAAAGTTAATGAAACACTTAACCATTATAACGCCGATTTTGATCCCTGATTTTGTTCCTGATCAAATTGTGTTTATAAATATTTTCGGGGGAGAATGATTTAGAAATCAAAGAGAAATCATGTCATCCAAAATCATCACCTGATTTGAAATTGGCATGTATAGTCATCCAATATGATCCCTTCTTAATTGTCCTCAAATCTTACGATCAACAATCAAATCTAACGGCGAAAAGTGAAAGATTTCATCTCATTGCATTTTATTATTTTGACAGGTTTTGATATCTTTCTAAATTGTAATGGTTTTGTTCTGAATTGCAACGTAGACAAGAGATTGCATACTTCAATAATGACATGTACAGGTAAGCCATATAAACTAAGATGTATAAAACAGCGAACAATTTCAATACACATGAAATAATAGTATCTATATAAACAATGAATGATTGTTGCAGAGGTTATTAATTATATTTGAAGATAACAGCTTAACTTGTCTGTGAGTTAGACAAAATTAATGATTCTTGTTCTTATTCAAAGGAGTAAGACCACGAAGGCCCTAATTTTGCCATCAAGCTTTGCATTGTGTAATATCGATATCGTTAACAAACCTATAATTAAGATTTTAAATATGCAAGTTTTGATATCAGATAAATTTTTATGTCCGCTATTCATTTATCCATATTGAATGCTTCAAAAGTATGATATGTTCAAGGATTTAATCCAAATTGTATGTTTTTAAGCATTTGTTAGATGTATTTCCTTCTGAAAAACATTGGCCACATCTTTCTACCAGAACAAATTAATTATACAAAGATGTATATAGATCCAATACACGTCCCAACAAATAATCGTGGTGGTCCATGCAAGTGGGCAATGTGATTTGAAGCAAAAACTATTAAAATGTAGCCAAGAAGTTTGTCCAAATTATGATTTTCGTCATAAGGACGCACAATGATGAAGCCATAAGGACATAGTTAGTGTTCTTACGAGTCAGAACTTGTTGATGTTTTATTTGTCAGATTTTATATGATATTTTATCATCAGATGTTTATTATTATTACTCAATTTAATTTTCACTAAATTATTGGGCAAATATTGACCCCCCCTGTGAACCTTCTCATTTTTCCGATGCGACTGAAAAAATCTTTGCAGATATCAAGCGTTTATTTGTGTATTAAGATATGCGTTTTGTCTACATAATACATCTCTATGACCCTCAAATGAAATTAGTTGAAAGATTAAATCAAGATTGAAGTTGGAAAAAAAAACTTATCAATAATACCAAGCTTATTCTTTTATAAGCCAGACGCCCGTTTCGTCTATAAAAGACCCAATAGTGATGCTCGCATAAAAAAAGTCGAAAGGTCAAATTACGAATCGATGAGCATTGCTAACAAAACATTCCGAAATTAAAAAAAAGCTGATATAATGTTACAATTACACCAAGTTATAATCTATTATTTCCTATTAATATATTGCAGTTATACAAAAGGAAGAAAAAAACCTTATTTTCAGAAAATGAAAATTCTGTTCTCCTATTAAAAAAAAATACGTTACCGTGACGGTAAATACAAATTTTGTTTACCACGCATAAAACTAAAGATATAAAAAGGCATTTATTACGTTCGAAGACAGTTGCAAATTTATTTCTTTTTTTATCTAAATATTGTAGATGTGGGGTGAATGTTAATGATAAAAGAACCAAAGAACAGTCGGAATGCATCAAAAATTAATTTGAAATTTGAAGTTAAACTGTGTCCTATATTTAACAATAAATACCCTTTCATATCATTTTATTCCAGCCATACCTTTAGAAACGTTTATCAATAGGAAGAGGAAGATGTCAGATTTTGAGACACTAATGCTAACCTTACATCACGTTAGGCGACAAACACTTTCTACTCAATTTTGGACTGATATTTTTCTTCCTGTGGTTGAGAATAGATCCTCAATTTTATGTCAATTTTTATTGACTGCAATATCTGAGGTGGAAACACGCGTATGGCAAGAGTGTCACCTTTATTTGATGGATGGGTTGTCACGTGCAATGACTAACCAAGACAAAGATACTGCCAAATCGATAGCTTGGTTCATCACAAGGAAGTTTTTTCTAAGTCTCCGTAGTAATTTTCTAGAAAATGTTATTGACATCTGGCCTGCTTTTCAGTGCAAATGTCTAGATAAAAAACAAGTACTGTTTTGTTGTCAAACAGTTGCAATCATTGTAGAAGTGGATAAGTTATGCCCTGAATTACCAAACGGCTTTTCGGAAATTGAAGTTAAGTATATTTTAAAAGATAATATCAATAATGGTGAATGCTCTAAAGTACATGAACATCTACAAAATCTCAGCAGCAAAATTACCTGTAATTTTCCAAATAAGATATCAATATCAGGTATGGACTCCAAACACCTTTTTGATGAGCATACAAATCTATCATTAATTTGCAAGTCGCCATTTAAATCTACCGGATTTCGAACGAATAACCACATGATAATCAAACAACCATGTATACAACTGTACTGTAAGAAAAAAGGATTTATACCAATTGGTGAAAATCATTTCCCAAGAACTGTATTTGGAATGCAGACAGATATATTGGATGGTAGTCCACGTTTCGTGTCACATTTGAAGGTGGGGGATCAGATTGGAACAGATGGCTATAAGAGGGGAACCCTAGGCGGGTTTGTTAAAGTTCGAGGAGATACAGCTTTTCTTACTTGCCTTCATGTGTTTTTAAATGCAGATGAACTTGCTTCGGACAACCTATCACTTGATGACGAACAGACAGTATGGGTGAAATGTTATAGAGAAAATTCATCCATACTTTGTGGTAAAATAAGAGAGATGGCATTTGAAGTTGACAATGAAAAGGAAATAAGCATTGATGCGGCACTTATTGAGTTAAAAGAAGGAATAACTATTGAAGCATCGGACTATGTTTCATCAACTGACGTAAATTTTCCCTTCAGTAGCATAGGTATGTTTGTTCATTATTTAATATAGATAGTCTATATGTAAAGGCATATTATGCAATGGAAAAAGGACAACCACTTAAAAACGAAAACCATTAGCTACATAATCCAAAACTAATGATATCACGAGTCTTGAGGTGTGTCGGTAAGGATGTCCTGCTTTTCATCATGTAGTGTATTTTACATTAAGTGATGGTCCCGGATATCAAAACTATTAGTAAAGGCATAAATATGAAATACAACGTCTCAAATTAACATGTAAATTATTAATCAGAGGTGATTTTCCGGAATGTGACGTGTATGAAATTGCAATTTAAGAATAAAGATAAAGTCTCGAGGAATAAACCTTCTAAAGAATAAGTGAATAAGTAGCAAGGGGCATTCAAAAATCATAAGTCCTTAAGCTGGGGAAAACTCAGAGAACTAGACACTAGTGACATCCGCCGTTTTACTCCTGTTCAAATACGGTGATAATTCGTACCAGCTGATTATGCATCATATTCATGCAAATTGGCAAGTGTGCCTTGTCTAACCCTATTACATCACACAAATACAAGACAAACGCCACAGGTAAAGTTTTAACTCCAAACCTCGCCCAATATAAACTTTGTATATGAAAACAAAGGATAAAAAAAATCTGTTACAAATAGAAACAACACCAACATTTAAAACTAAAACACGGGAACATACTACAATGAAAACGTACATAAAACAAAACGTATTAATCTTAAACAAAAGAAGGAGTGATCTCAGGAGCCCCTGAAGTAAAATTTATCCAATAGTGACACCTGTCGGGTAAGTAATTGATAATAAAAATTCGGTGACATGCGCAAGAAAATGAAATAACATGTCCATACAAGAGCATTGAAAACTGGACTGTCGATTCCATCTGGAACAAAACGTCAACCATCAGCGGCAGCTCCACAGTGGTTGTGAAAAATAAGCTAAGATACTTGTACCAGGCTTATAATTTTAAAAGCCTGACACTTTATAATTTAGGCAATTGAACTTATTTTAATATAATAAAGAAGGTTATTCTAGAAACGCGAGTTTCGATCAAAAATATATATATACGTTTTTAATATGTTTAATTCGGCAGGAATGAAGTCAATGTATCTGAATGATAGCTGTGTTGATTACAACGACCCGAAGTTATCATCAAATTCGATACTACAAACTGTCTCTGTGGGTGCTGTGTCAGGTTATTCACAGATTAATATAACGAAAAAATGGTCTAAGATAAATGATGCGTCTATTGATTTAGAAAATATCGAGGAGACCTACAGTAAAGTCGTTATAGATGAAATTACAGACAATGTTAAGTATGCTATTCAATCTCTTAAGTTATTACCTATACAAATATCACTGCAAGAACTAGACGCCGATACTATTGGGAGACATTGTCGCGACAATATTTCCTCTGGTATTAAATCGATTGTTGTCGATGTGATAAAGCATATTTTTGAAACAAGTCAAAGTCTCCGTGATGTAGATATTGATGCAGCGATATTCGCAAGAACCCAAAGTTCATTTTCAGCTGTAACGGGAGATGTGCACATGCAACGGATATTCCTTAGAAGAACCGCCCAAAATATGGCTGCAAGGAGAACCTCGCGAAGAGTTTATAATCAAATTTATATACCAAAAATACCTTTTGAGCAGGGTGATTCAGGAACGTGTATTTATGTTAAAGATCCAAATCAAGTAGGTACAGTAATGGCATCTGCGACCAACCAACTAGAAGGGTGTATAGGAATGGCAATTGCGACCCATCCACTAGGAGGATGTATTGCAACTCCTATTAAGGCCATATTAAAGCATTTTAAACTAAGAATAAAATAAGCATTTAAACCACAAGAAAGATTGAACATTTTAATCAGATGTTTCGATATAATGTGAATAATTTTATATTTTCAACAAAACATTTTTTTTTTGGTTTGATTGCTTCCAATTAGTGATAAAAAGTTTTTTTTAATCTGCTTTTAAATAGCAAAGCTATCTGAAAAGCTGTATGGATGTTTTCTCCTCACTTTCAAAATTTTACTTTTATGTTATAAGTAGGAATAGCAACGGGTACGATTTTAGTTCTCGGATACTCGTTGGGCTTTCATAAATCCTGAGACATTTCCCCTAACTTAAGGTTGTTTCATGGTATACCGCCATCTTGGATTGTACAATCGCAGTACAAAATTGGTCTAGTTATTTGCTGAATTCTGCAAATTTGCAATTTATTTGTTACACTGTTTATTAATATAAATAAAACTAGGTGATTTATTGTTGTATACAAAATATTTAAACAAATTTCAAATTTTGTGTTTTTAAAATCAATTTCTTCTCACAATTTATTTCAAAATTCTATCTCATAGATTTCTTTTTATGCACACAAATGTGTTTTTTCATGAACAATTTAACCAAATTTAGGCAATTTTTAACGACTCATAGCTCGGAAAATAGCACGGTGACCCATACTTTTTATTATATTTTTTAAAAAAGCATAGTAACATCTTCATTTTGGCAAAGTATAAGAAAATTCTGTCTAAAAAAATATATACTTATGATCTACCTTAATTTACCTTTGACACATCCCCGTCACAACTCTCATTTCTGAACAAGAACAAAGTAAACCCCACGTCACTGATTAAATACATTTGTAACGGTGTATGTACACGGATTAACACGTTCATGAATCAATGACTCACAAGCCGTAAACTAACCTTCGATTGTTAATCAAGAGTTCTTTGTAAACGTGATTGGTGTGGGATGTTCTTTTAATGAAATCAATTTGTATTTAAAACTTTATCAATAAAATTAGTTTTGTACAAGTATAATTTTAGGTCTAATATTTTGTTGACAAATTATGGGACAAGTCATTATATCAAAATCACGAATCCCACGGGAAGAGATGATACAGATTGTCCGCAGTGAAAGAGGGTCTTCAAAAATACTGTGAAACTGTTTACTCGCGTAGTGGTATTAACCATATGTGGATTCTTAAAAATTCTAAAGAACTTCTGGATAATTTTAAATCTCGGTCTTTTTCTGAAATTAGTTCTATCAAAACTTTTGATTTTTCAACCCTGTATACCACCATTCCCCATGTGAAATTAAAAAATCGCATAAAAGAAATAATTCACAATGCCATTCAACATAAAAATGGTAGCATACGCTATAAATGTATTACTTTGGGATACCATGAGGCATATTTTGTTAATAGCGAACAAAAGGGTAAGACATGTTACACAGAGGAACAAGTGATCAGTATGCTGGAGTTTCTTATCGACAACATTTTTGTTGAATTTGGAGATAGACGTTTTCAACAAATTGTCGGCATTCCTATGGGAACGAACTGTGCGCCTCTCCTTGCCGACCTCTTCTTATTTTCATATGAATCGGAGTTCCTTCAGACACTTGTCATAAACAAGAAGATCAAAGAAGCCAGATTATTTAATTTCACTTTCTGATATATTGATGATGTTCGTTCCATTAACAATCCGACATTTTCTGATTGGGTTCCATTAATATATGCCCCAGAACTAGAAAGTAAAGAAACAACAGATACGGCTTCCTCCGCCTCATTTTTAGACTTATACCTCGAATTTGACATACACAGTCATCTCAGTACCAGAATCTATGACAAACGAGACGATTCTAATTTTAAAATCATCAATTTCCTCCACCTTAGTGGCAATATACCAAATTCACCTGCATATGGGATATACATTTCCCAACTTATTCGCTATGCAAGAGTTTGCAGCTTATACTCAGACTTTGAAAAACGTTACCAGTGTCTGAGCAAAAAGTTGATGAACCAGGGGTATGTCAAAGAACGTCTCGTCCTTTTTCTAAAAAAGTTCATCGGAAGGTACCAAGACCTTGTTGATAAATATTCCGTATCAACTTCACAAATAATACATGATGGTCTTGAAGTATAGATTCTGCGTACTGACGCTGTTTATCATCTTAATAATGTGTTAAAGTGTTCCCTTATTTGTCTTTATTAATATTACTTTTACTATTCGGTCTGTTTTTGGTGATATACATTTGACGTGGCTCTGTATTTATGCATCCCGTCATTGTGCTGTTTGTATTATTTTTCATTTTTACTTGTGTGCTTTGTCCGTGTGACTTTTTATGTTTCTTTGATACATATATATGACGTGTCTCTGTACTTTAAACATCCCGCCATTATGTTATTGTTCTATTATAATTTTTGCATACTTTGAACGACAAAATTATTGTATATCTCTACCTGTGTGACTTTACATTCTGACGTCAAACACGCGATTTTACGCAAGAGTTAATGTTAAAATTATGATTCGGTCCCAGTGCTTAAAATCCCTAGATCCTATATGGGTTTATTTGGCATACATAAATAAAATACAAAAATAAGTAAGCAATGAACGAGGTTGTTAAATGTAAAATATGCTTTTTTGTGCTTATTTGTTTGTTTTTGTTGTTATTAAGATTGTGGCACGGTGGTGACTGATGTACCCCTATTTTGACATTTTTACCTATTATGTCTGTTTGTTTTATTCACGCATCGTTGTCAATATAATGTAATTTGATGCGACTGTCATACAAGTGAGAGGTTAAGCGACATAAAACCAGGTTCAATCCACCATTTTCTACATAAGAAAATGCCTGTACCAAGTCAGGAATATGACAGTTATTGTCCATTCGTTTTATGTGTTTGTGCTTTTGATTTTGCCATTTGATTAGGGACTTTCCGTTTTGAATTTTGTACTTGGTCATAATATTGATTTATCATTATTACTAAAATAGCTTTTTTTTACAATTATTTATTTCCCTCTGATACATTTTAAATAAAACAATCCAGCGACACAATGTCCCTGCTAAACATCAAGTTTTATAACACACTCAATCTAAAATACAAGTAGACGTACTTATCTGTATTTTAACATAACTAGAACGTGTATAATGTATTAAGCATTGTTCTTTAAAAAGAAAACACCATTTATCACATTTATTTAATATTATTTTCAGCAGTTACCATATGGTACTAATGAATTC